AAAGTATTTTATAAGATTGTTAGTTGTGAAATATGATTCTTATAATCTTATAATACTGTATTTTTTCATATTATTTTATAGAAAAATGCATGATTTAATATGAGTTTTGAAGAAAAAAATGCATTTTTGAAAAAGTGGATCGCAAAAAGGGGGCTAAAGAGAAATAGGCCAAATGCTATATTTCTATGGGCTCCATTCGAGCAAAAGTGGGCTTACATATATATACATTGTAGATTGCTAGGGAAAATATATGGAAAAAAATTCACAATTCGAGTATAACTATCTGTCAATTCAATTTTCAGGTTTTAAGATTCAACATTCAAAATTCAGGTGGTAATTTAATAATATCAATCTCTCTCTAGTCCAACCACAGTCATGGCATCCGTTCTTCGCCATCCCCTCTTACAGTAGTCGACATTCACCCTCCTGCATCTTTAAATATAGCGATCATTGAAGCACGTCGATAACTGAGCAGTGTTGGTGTAATTTAAATTTATTTTTTAAAATTGGAATTGAAAATAGCAACTAGTGTAATTTACAGAGTACTCATCGAATCAAATAACTTCAATTCTCATTGTCGAAATCTGGATAACTAACTTTGTGACCAGTTCTTTTGAATTTACATCGATTTGTTGCCTTTGATATCGTTGCAATGGCTGTGACTAATTCTTTTTTATTTGCGACCTATAGACATTGATATGTTACTTATGAATGATGAATTGTGACAAATTAATATTGACCTGTGAATTATAATAAGCGACCTATGAATATCTGTGACACATACAATATGACCAGTGATTTGTGAATGGTGCCTTGTGACCTATGATCCATAACGTGTGATGCGCGACCAATTAATATAAACTATAATATACGATCAATTAATATTGACATGTGAAATATAATCTGTGATCTATACAATATAACCTGTAAATGATGACGTGTGACCTCTGAACATAAATAAGTGATATGTGATCGATTCTACTTGATATGTGACTTGTAACAGGTGCACAAAGACACGTGACATCTCATCAATTCACATGTCATGAGTTATTGCATCAATGTCATAAATTATCCATTGTATTAGTCATACATTATTTATTGATTACAAATTAGCCCAATTTATTGGTCACAACCATAACCTAACCCAAACCTAGCACTACAATCACCGCCAAAACCACAAGAGTGCATCAAATAAAAAAACTACCCACATAAAAACCACCAACAAACCACATATAGCAAACTATCTTCTCCCCTGCCTATGCTACATCAATATTCAATTTATGGAAACCCCTGCCTAGCAGTGCCCATTTGATTGGAGCTCTTGCTGACCCTCTTCAAGCAGTTCATCTGGCTCTACGAAGAACATATGTTTCTCTAAACAAATCAAGTGGTTTCGACATTTGCCCTAAAACCATGAGTGCCGCATATAGCAATGAACAGTCCGTCGATGTTCAGATCGTCATTGAACAGCGCTCAGAACGTCTATCTGTTCATCGCTGTAGAGCACCACACATATGCACGCTACCTGCGTCGTCTCTGCTGATGTCGTCAGAGAGTATGGAATGGGTATAGAGAGATGCTGTCAGAGAGAATAGAAAGTGGGAGTATAGAGAGTTATGGAAGAGAGACAAACGGAGAGATTGGATGGACGGAAGGAAATAGTTTGGGGATTGAAATTGAAATCGCTGCTAAATAGTTGATTTATCACATAATTTGTGAATAATTAAACCTCATACCTGACTTTTGCACATTGATATTTAGAATCAGGTTACGGTGTAATTTCTACAAAAATATATAGGGGATACTTTCACGTTTTTTTTTTTTTAAATAACGTGTTACAAAAATATAATAGTATAACAAATTTGTCATACTTTGTAATATTAATATTGTTACATTGACAAGCTCAATGACAAAAGGGATACATGTCAATACATGATTGGACAGTTTAAAAAAAGAAAGCACAACATCCAATCACTGTTTGCCACACTATCCCGTCAACACATCCCTGTCATCACCTCTATCCAAGGAGCATTATTCTTGTAATATATGTAACATATGAGCTTAACACGTGTAATATATTGTCATGTCAACCTCCAACCCGATCACATTCACCACAATCACCTAATCCATACCTATTTTACCACCACCATACCAATCTCACCGCCATTACTACCACCACTGTCTAAAGTACGTGAGCGCAGAGACTTTTGATCATGAGTTCGATTTTTCCTATCAATACTTTCTCGGTCGAGCTTGTCGCATAGGGCTTGTCTAGTGCGGTTTATGTGGCTGGTGTGGTTTGCAGGCTATTGCGTTAGTTCGAGAGTTTACTCAGTGCGCACCCAAATGGTAGCGGCTGCGAGTTTCCCCGTTATTAAAAAAAAAAAAACACACGTATGCTTTTCTTGTAAATAATTTCTTGTCATATTATACCTCCGATAGTCCAGAAGTGTCCATTTAAATTTTTTTAGTGATTTTCAAGTCCTTAGGCTTCAATTTTTTATGCACGTACTATGCTAGACATATCTACACTATCATAAAAGAGAGAATGAGGGTTTACTGTTTATCTTTGTCACACTCGTTTTCACACTTAATTGGTTTGGAAGTTGGTTTGGCAGCAGGAAAAATGCTATTCAAAAATACTGTAGGACTTTTGTCACACACTATTCTCCAATGTAATATTTCTCCGTTGCTTTGAATCTGAAACACCATTCTCTTTCTCCTAATTCTCACGCTATTAACTATCAACCATATCTTATATATTTAAATTTTGAAAATTATATTAATAAACAAAATTATTGTAAATAAAATGTAAAAAAAAAAACATATTCACTTAGTGTATGGAGAAAAAAATTACGTTATACCACATAATTTTTCTTGAGCAAAATGATGTATTGAGAAAATTGTTGTGAAGAAATAATAAATAGTAATAAAATAATTGATTTTTTGAAGAAAAAAATGATTTATACACATTTTTTAACACATACGTTTAATGTCCGTTTAACTATTTTCGATATTAATTTACATCATTTGATGTGTCTATGATATATTTCTCGAAATAAGTTTCGAGTGAATGTAAAACATTTATCGATTCGACTATCGTATAATGGTCGATGAATTTTTAGAGTTAGCTTGTTATCGAAAATTTCGAAATATACTTTGAAAATGCCTATTTTGACGTCCCGTAACATTTGATACGATTAGTCGTTTCACGCACCGTTAACGACGTATAATACTATGTTGCAAGTACTTCAATATGATATTAAGAATGTAATATTTCGACTTCGTTTGATATCCCGTAATGAGTCTGAAATGAACACAAAAACATAAGTTAAAAAAAAAAAAAGGCAACGTGTAGTAAACCTCCGTGCATGGAGGATAGGCACTTTTTTTTTTTTTTTGTCGTAAATTCTTTTATCAATATTTAATTTTAAACAATTAAATATATTTAAATATTTAAAAACAAATGTTAGTGTTTATATTTTTTACCTATAAATAACATTTACCATTACAATTTTTTTATTACTTTTAAATAACTTTAGCTGATTTTTTTACTTATAGTGTAATCTTTTTATTAAGATTTATTTAATAAACTAAATATATCTAAATATTTATACTTAACAAATTTTAAGTATATATATATATATTAGTAGTTTTTGCAATTATATATAAGAGATTTAGAATTTAAAATGTAAATAGTTACTTACTATTATAGTAGTAGGTAAAAAAAAAATGGAAAAAGTTATTTCAGATCAGAGTTAAAAAAAATTGTAATTGTAACTTCGATTTTTTTTTTTTAAAATGTAATTGTAAAAGCTATTTATAAGTGAAAAATATGAATTTCGATTTTTAAGTATATATTTGTAAAATGTAAATAGTTAGTTACGAGTAGAAAATTTGCTCCAAGTTACTTACGAGTATAAATTTTTTCCTTTTTTTTCTCCAAATAAATTGCTCGATTAAAATGATTTCAATTTTAATTATTTGTATTTATTATATATTTTTACTTCTTTTCCGATGGATTGGTGGAAATTGTATAGCTTCTTGTCAAAAAAAACTCATAATGGTATTTTTGTCACGTACGTTTTCACATTGAACTGATTTGAAATGTTTGATTCAAATGGTTTGTCTTTTTCATTTAATATATAGTAAATAAAAGAAGATATAAAAAATATATAAAGTAATGTACTATCTATCACTTTCTCAAGTTATCCAGTCTCTTTCCTTCCTTAAATTGGATTGATTTGTCTCCAAAAAATTCAAGCTTTCGTCTACGAAAGAACTTTCCATATTTAAAACTTTCGATATTCTTCTTTCTTTCAGTACGAAAAAAATTCATGTAATCCTCATCTTGATCTTAGAGAAGAAAATCAGGGAATTTGTAACGATTGTGTTTGGGTATGTCTTTGGAAATTTTAGTTTTTGTTTGTGTTTTTTTATTTATTTAACATACGTTGTTTTTTATTCTGTCTATAGATGAAAATTTAGTTCCGCTCATATTTTTCTACGTAATGTGAGATATGTTATTCTTTCTGTATATACATAAAAATCTAAGTAAATTTTTCTTTATTTATTGGATATAGCTATGAAGGTTTTTTTCCCCATATATATTTATTTCTTACTATTTTTTCAGGTTTCAATAATGTAACATAATTTTTTTGTTCTGTGTATACAACTTGACTACGTCTTTCTTTCTTTACCATTATCTACATGAGAAGTTTATGTTGCTGTTTATGTTTAATGAAAATTACAACAGTTTGGTATATGAATGTTTGATTGTTATCGTCCAGTTTATAGTTCTTTTTTTACGTGCATTTTCGAAGATGATTGTTGATTTGCGGAATGTTTCCTAATATGTATATGGGTTCAGTCAATTTAGTTTATACAGTGTTTAATGTAATAATATCATTATTGGTTGGTTTTTAATTAAATCCATAATTTCTTCTATTATTGAAATCAGAGGTCAGTTCATTGTTTTCATGGATTCTTTCGAAAAATCTATGAATGAAGAGTCTGGTCGTTTTGATCTTCAAACCTTGTCCCAAAGCACAAGTCAATCATATAATGCTTTCATTCGACGACAACAAAATCGAAGGCAGGCGGATAGGAGATATCGAAATGAAATTGTAAGTATTGATTGTCGTAAAAGAATAAATGATCGTATGTTATCTACAAATAATACTTCTGAAGTTGATTGTGTGCATGAATATATAATACATTCTGAGGCATCTACTTTGAATGAAGAAATGATAAATATTTTTTATTCTGAATTACATGGAAGCTCTAATTTGTTAAGTGTACCAGCAACTGCATATGTATTACCAACTTGTGATTATTGTAAGCATTGTGGTGCACGCAAATTGTATAGAAAGACTAAAGGTTTTTGTTGTTCTGATGGAAATGTGAAACTTTTTATGCCCGATTCACCGGATGAATTGTATACTTTATTTACGTCTAAAGAGCCTGTATCCATGGAATTTAAAAAATATGCACTTTCATATTATAATCACTTTGCATTCACTTCATTTGGTGTAAAGTATGATAAAAAACTGTTTAAAGCATACAAAGGTATCTACACATTTAGAATTCAGGGACAAGTATATCATTATGTAAATCAACTTATACCGGATAATAATACGCCTTGTTATATGCAATTATATTTTTATGATATAGCTAATGAACTAGAAAATCATATGAAAACTTCAGAACACCTGGTGGAATCTATTTTATTTCTTCTAATCGAAATCTTGAAGGTAAATCCGTATAGTTAATTTTTTAGGTCTTTAAGCAATATAACTGATTTGCATGAGCATAAAATTCAAATAAGATGCCATCCAGGACTCGATCAGAGAGTCTTTGATACTCCGTTGGCATCTCAAGTAGCTGCTATATGGGTTCAGGATGATGAAAATACAAATATTCGCGTTCGTGATATTACTATATATGGTCATTCTAGTGATTTGCATAGGGTTCATTATTATTATGGTTGTTACGATACTCTACAATATTCTTTGCTCTTTCCATTTGGTGAATGTGGTTGGCATAAAGGCATTCTAAGATACGAACAAACGTCTTCTCAAATTGCACAGTTTGTGGACAATGTTGCTGATCCAAATGTAATAAATTCTACGACTCAAATTATTGAAAAAAAGGCTGCAGGTTTGCTTATATACTTTCTTGTGTCTATTATAGTTCTACAAATGTGATATTGAAAGTAAATATAAAATTATTCATTCTCGCTTATGTAGTGTTGAAGGATACAAAGAAGAAATTGTCTCAGGTATCATGTCGTGAGTACTATTCGTATAAGTTACAAATTAGGCCTTCTGATAAGTCTGTGTTGCTTCATTTTGGTAGACTTTTTCAACAATATGTTGTGGATATGTATGTTAAAATAGAGACATCCAGATTAGATTATTTTCATAGTAATCAGAAACAAATTCGTGCTGAACTTTATCAAGGTATCATAGACAGTATACATAATGGAGAAACAAAAGGGTACAAAATTGGAAAGAAATTTGTTTTACCACAATCCTTTACATGTGGACCTAAAGATATGCTAAGGAGATACTTAGATGCTATAACTCTTGTCCAACGTTATGAAAAATCATATTTATTTATAACTATAACATGTAATCCAAATTGGCCAGAAATTAAGCAAGAATTAAAATATAATGATGAGGTTGAAAATCGACCGGATCTTATTGTACGTGTATCTAGAGCAAAATTAGAAGAACTTAAAAATGATTTATACAAGAGAAATATTTTTGGTCCTATTATAGCTCATATATACGTGATTGAATTTCAAAAAAGAGGTCTCTCTCATGCACATCTGTTGTTGATTTTTAATTGTGGTCATAAAATTTCTTCTACTAAACAAGTTCATAAAATAGTATCTTGTGAAATTCCTGATAAAAATATACATCATTATCTTCATTCAGTTATTGTAAAGCGCAATATGCATGGTCCTTGTGGAAATCTAAATCCTAAAAACATATACATGGAGAAAAATAGTTATTGTAAAAATAAATATCCAAAAGATTATTGTAATAGTACTATATTTGGAGGTAATTCGTACCCACTGTATAAGTGGCGTAATAATGGCATTTATGTTAAAGTGAGAGGTAAAATGTTAGGCAATCAATGGATTGTGCCATATAATCATTATTTAAGTGCAAAATTTGACTGTCATATCAATGTTGAAGTATATTCTTTTATTAAAGTCGTTAAATATTTATACAAATATGTATACGAAAGACATGATCGTATTAATTTTTTGGTCGACAAAAATAACATAGACAAAGACATTGATGAAATTTCTACTTACCAATCTACTAGATGAATATCTCGACCAGAAGCTATGGGAAGGTTTTGTGCTTTCAATTTATCGAAAATATATCCAGCTGTTTGTGCTTTACAACTTCATATTGAAGATCATCAATGTGTAACTTACAAATATATAGACAATTTATCTTCTGTTATTGAGAATGAAAATAAGAGAAAAACTATGTTAGCTGAGTTTTTCCGAGTAAATAAAATAAATGAATTTTCTCGAATGCTTTTGTATCAAGATTTCCCAATGCATTTTGTTTGAAATGCATCTAAGAAAACATGGTTACCTAGAAACAAGCAAATTGTTGTAGGACGAATTATCTTGGTAAATCCATCTGAAAGAGAACGATATTTTCTTCGTCTTCTTCTTAATCATATTAGAGGTCCAACATCATTTGATGATTTAATGATTTTCAATGGGGTAAATGTTGGTACATTTCGTGAAGCTGCGCTTCTCTATGATTTATTAAATGGAAATACTCGTTGTGAAAAATGTTTATCTGAAACTATTATTTACGAAATGCCTTATTCTTTAAGACTTCTTTTTGCTACGCTTCGTACAATGTGCAATCCAAATAATCCTAAATTACTGTGGGATAAATTTAAGCCTTATATGACGGATGATTATGTAAATAAAAATATGCTCGCTGAAGTTGTCGAAGTACGAGCTTTAGAGGATATAATTTCTATTTTAGAATCACTTGGTAAAAATATAAACGATTATGAATTGTGTCATTTAACGTAAATATAGACGACGATGAAAGATTAATGAGAATGGTTGTAGAGGAAACAACAAAATTGGATATTGAAAGAAACTTTAATTGTACAACGACGTTAAATAAAGAATAACAATTTACATATAATACAATTATGGAAAAAGTACAAGATGAATCAAGTGGAATTTTTTTTATCGACGGTCCGGGTGGGACATGAAAAACTTTTTTATATAGAGCACTCTTGACTGATGTCAGATGTCGTCATTTCATAACTTTAGCAATTGCATCATCCGGAGTGGCTACATCTTTATTGCCCGGAGGTCGAACTGCTCATTCAAGATTTAAAATCCCTCTAGAAATGGTAGGTGAAGTCAACTGCTCTATTAGCAAGCAATCGGCATTAGGAACTTTATTGAAAATGTGTAGGCTAATAATTTGGGATGAGGCACCTATGGTAAATCGTTGTGCTGTAGAATCTATAGACAAAATGCTTAGAGACATCAATGATTGTAACTTGCCTTTTGGTGGAAAAGTAATAGTTTTCGGAGGAGATTTTAGACAGATTCTACCAATTGTACCTAAGGGAAACAAAGAAGATATAATAAAGGCTAGCATAATTTACTCGTATTTGTGGCCTTCTTTTTTACATTTAGCACTGGTTGAAAATATGAGAGCGAAGTTCGATCCCCTTTTTTGTGAATACTTACTTCGAATTGGAGGTGGAACAGAACAAGAACATACTTGCAACTGTATTAAGCTACCAAATAGTATAGTTCTACCATTCGAAGATGAAATTACGTCTTTAAAAAAATTGATACAATGTGTGTTTTCAATATAGACACATATGCCGATCATTTATATACGATGGTCAATCGTGTTATTCTTACGTCTGCAAATGAATGTGTTGACTACATTAATATACTTTTGTTTGAACAAATTCCTGGTCAAAGTTTCACGTATATAGTTTTGATAAAGCAATTGAGAAATTAAAACAAAGCCTACAGAAAGACTTCTTGAATACTTTGACACCTAATGGTAGTCCACCTCATGAGTTGAAACTGAAGATGAATTGTCCTGTAATGTTATTACGAAATATCAATCCTTCCGAGGGGTTATGCAATGTAACATGCCTTACCTGTCAAAAATTTGAGAGAAATGTCATTCTTGCTGAAATCACAACTGGTGAATATCGTAGAAAACAAGTTTTATTACCTAGGATCCCTTTCATACCTCTCAAAACTGATCGAACTACGATTCCATTTAAAAGGACTCAATTCCCAATTAGACTATACTTTGCAATGACAATAAATAAAGCACAGGGTCAGACACTTGATTTCGTGGGTTTGCACCTACCAGAACTAGTTTTCTGCCATGGTCAATTATATGTAACAATGAAAATCAAACCGTCCAATGAAAATCATACGCACAACTCATGTACTAAAAATGTTGTGTACAAGGAGGTTCTTTCATTCATACATTCATACAACTGCACCTCTTTATAGGTATATGTTCGATTGATTGGAATTTCTTTTTTCGTCCGTGATTTCTTTGTCGACTATGCTAAATGAAATGTCTTTTTTTTTCCAACTATAATGCAAATGTTAGATTATTCTAGAAGTTGATGAATGGAATGGAATGGATCATTTTTGTAAGAATTCTAACTGATTAGCATTTTGAAATTGTTATTCAAAATATGAATGACATTCTACTTCAAACATTTTTTTTCGGAGTATCTAAATCAATTTAATTTATGCAGCATATGAACATTCAAATTTATGTGAAAAAAGTCAAGTAAATGTTGTGCATAGGAAAATTATTGGAGCACACTCTTTTCAAAAATTGGTTACTTGAGGTAAACCAAGCTTTCAAGTCTTCAGATTTAAAGATAACTTGTGATGGAGACATAAATAACACAAGTTTTTCTACACTAAAAGAAAAAAAAATTAGTAGATGATGATTGAGATATTTGAGAAGTTTTTGACAACAACTATTCTCTTCTTTTAAATCATATAGTGTTTAAACTGTCTAGATTAGAAATGATATATACATCAGGGTGTTTGGTTTGCTTTATGGGTGCTAAATAACATCAATTATTGTTGCAAGCTTTGTTGATAAATCTTGTATTTATTTTTGTCTTCTATTTAGATTTATTTTCATCCAAGTAATCTATACCTACGAAACTTATTTTGCAAGTGACATGATTTCTTATATTTAGTTGCCAAAGTTAAAACTTTTTAAGATGGTAAGTTGAAATTCACGTTGATAAACAACTAGCAAAACAATAATGCTTAATAAAAACTAATCATAAAATTGAAAATTTGTATAGCTATGAAACTATCATTAAACTATATCATTAATAACAAAAGAAATAAAAAACCACACACACACACACACACACACACACACACACACACATATATACAAGTACAAATGTGCGGGGTGAGACCGCAGAAAATGTGTGGTGTGTCGCACCCGCACAATTATAAGCAATTTTTTCTTTCTTCCACACTCGAGTATTAAAAAAATGTAAGAAACTCTCATTTTCAACTTTCACATGAATTTGGTGCTGACTTGCTGTGCGAAGATGTCTATTTTCTTATTTGCACAAGAAGAATGTGCGGGGCTACACCGCACACCGCCGCAAAATTTGTGCAGGGGTACCCCCACAAAAAAGCACATAATTACCCTGCACAATTGTGCGTGCGGGGTTACCCGCACAACAATTCGTGCAGATAGCCCGCATACCTCGCACAATTGTGCGGGCTATCCCACACAAATTGTGCCTGTGCAATTGCACATAATTGTGTGGGGTAGTCAGCACACCCTCACAAAGTGCGGTTACCCCGCACATTGGAATGTCCCCCTTGTGCGGTACCCGCACAAATCTGTAGGATACGACATCACTCGCACGAAGGTTATACTCGCATCTTCATTGCTTTCTCTAAATATTATCAACAATATTTTGAGCTATATGAAATTTTAAATAAAACATATATTGTTTTGGTTAAAGATTAATACAAGAAACAAAAAAAAGTATTATCTCTTTCTTTCATTTTTTGTTCCTACAAAATCTTACAAAACATTACAAATCTTACAGAATCACGAGAATCCTGTAAGAAGGTGCCAAAATCACTGCACATATTATGTCTACTTCTACAACCGTGGGAATACTTTGTTTGTTTTACATGTGAACATCTCGTCAAATCATTGAGAAAAGCAACGTACATTTCTTTAGCTTAAGTACTTTCACATACCATTTGTTCTCACCAAATTTTTTTTAATATTTTTACCTGCCAGTTACACCAGCCCAACTTTGCTCAAAAAATTCAAGTGTTGTCTATTATTTTTTTCTTGCTTTTTAGATAGATTTTTAGATTTACATAATGTCTAATTTTCAATATTTAATGGTGTTCTAAATCATATGATGTATGTAATTCTTTCTAAATCTAGTAGACACAAAAATGGATGTGCCAAATAACTTCTCCAAAATCATCGATGTTTCACTAAATCATAACATTCGTTTTGTAAGTTATATAATAATTTCTTTTTTCAGATTTTTTAAAATCTTTTATTAATATTAATGTACAACTTATATTTTTTTCGTATTTGTAGATGCTTCCTACATCTTTTATCAATTACTGGGAACCAGAAATAGGTAACACACTACGATTAACTGTATATGATGGTATAATTGTCACAGTATAGTTAGAAAGAATTGACGAAGAAATATATTTGGCTAATAGATGGGAAGAATTTTTCGATCATCATAACTTATAGGATGGTTATATTGTAGTATTTGAATATAATGAAAATTCAATGTTGAATATGAGGATATTTGATCATTCTAGAGCAGAGATTACATATGGCTCAAATTATGAAGTAGACGACGACAATTTAAATATGGATAATCCTGCGTTTGAAGTAAAACTTAAGCTGGATCATAATGACCATCGAGAAATTGTAGGTGTTATTTTTAATATGTCATTCTATATTTACCTATTCCACATCATTCTTAATATTAGTAAATCATTAATCCGTGTTTTTCAGTCTATACCAGGAAGGTTTGCAAAATAACATTTGCCAAGACATGTGCAAAATGTTCGAATCCTCAACTCTTTACTTCACTACTAGGATATCACCGTAAATTCAAGAGAAAATGGTGTAATGCACCGGCTTAGTGTAGGTTGGGCAGATTTTCTGGCAGACAAGTAGCTACAAATTGGCGATATATGTGTATTTGAACTATTAAATAGGGAATCTCCAATATTTATGGTTTATAAAAAAAACCATAACAATAGGACTTTAATACGCGTATGAAACTTTTTTTACTGATGATATTCCTAGCCAATAATGTTTATATTTATCCAGCAGTTAATTATCTCATCGACAGTTTCATAGACTACATTTATTCCTTTTTTTTACATCATAATATTAATAGAGTATATATCATTGACATACATGATTTATAGACAAAATTTGAAGTTATTCTTCAAAAAATGAAGGATACTCCATGAGCATTCTACTTGAGAGCATTCCAAATTGAGCCTAATTCATCAAATTATAAATTTGACATCATCTCCGTGACAGATTTGACAGATTTAGACGATAGAAACACCCCAAGTGAAAAAAGGCAAGAAAATGTTAAGAAAAACATCCATACAAACTCGCCTAAGGAAAATACATTGCCTCCAGCAAAGAGAGAGTGAAGAATGATTAAAATATTACTTCAAATTCAAATTCATATGTTACTTCTAACATAAATCCGTTTGCTCCAAAGCAAAAGATAAAGTGAAGAATGACTAAAATATTTTTGTTTGGGATAAAAATAAATGGCTTGTTGTTGTCAGCTTTGTTTTTCTTTATTTTGCTTTATTTTGGCAACCATAATGTTGATAAATGATGTATGTATAACATGCTACTTACATAATTTATTGCTATCCATTTATTATGGATAGTAGAATATTTATTTTGTATTTTTGTAGTGAATTGTCAACATTAATGAAGTATATATTCTAAAGTATATTCTCAT